AGTAGTAGTAGTAGTAGTAGTAGAAGTAGAAGTAGTAGTAGTAGTAGTAGTATTCCAGTCGTAGTTCAAACTTAGTAGAAACCGACAGCCTGCTGGATAGAGCTGAGCAGGCGGAAAACAAGGCAAGCCCCGTTGTGCTCCTGGCTTCAAACATGTATTTACCCGGAGCAGCATAAACCCAGATTCACACGCCTTGATGACATTGAGGGGATATGAGCCAGCGCCGAAATAAATCAGCGGCAGTTCTGACTGATATTAGCGTCAGTAATAGGGGCAGTACTACTATCACTCGGCTACACTGCTAGTAAGTAGTAGTAGTAGTAGTAGTAGTAGTAGTAGTAGTAGTAGTAGTGGGCATTACAGCATACACTCGTTTGATCGCAATAAAAGGGAAAGGAAGAGTCACCTCGGTATGTCCACGATTAGCAGCCTCATGCAGAGGCGTCCAACCAGCATGGTCTCGCACATTGGGTGATAGACCAGAGGAAAGGAGAGTCTGCAACTGAACCACATCGTTTTTAATGGCGGCTCGGTGCAGGACACTTTCGCCTTTGCTGTTGAGACGCAAATTAAGTGTAGGTGGACTGTTAATAACAGTCGACCGTTTCGTTTTCGTTTTCGCCGAACCAGTCGACTTTGCTTTCTGGGGGTTCGCTCGCTTCCCGGCGACGGAGGAGGAGGAGGAGGAAGAGGTAGACTCCGCTTCGGATTTTAAACGGTCAACATCACTTTTGGATTTTTGACGACGTTCCGATGACATCAGGGAGTCCTCTGAAATGCAAGAGTCCTCTGGGACAGCAACAGGGGCTTTCGCTATTCTCGGCGCCTTCTTAAGAGTAGAAACGAGAGAACATTCTAAGTATGGGTCCAAAATTTACGTGCATATAAAGGCAACAAAAATTGGAGAGTAAGTTTAAATGGGTGCGAAAGAAGCTACGAGATAATACGACGAGCAGACACGAGGTTGCCGCTATCAAACTACGACGACACTGATTAAATTTAAGCTAGATCTGTGAAAGTTTGTAAAATGAACGTAGAAGATAGGCAAAGAAGAAACGTAGAGCTACATTTGCTAAGTACAGCTAGCTGACAGGACAAGATTCGAAAAGACAAGCAGGTTTGTCCAGTTACGCGAGAAGCCTCTGCGGAAACGCGAATTGGACAAACCAATTGTCCGATGTTTGAGTAGTACCAGTTTATCAAGTCCTCTTTACACCGAGGATTTGGAAGGAGGAAATACTTGCGAAATTATATGCGTCTGTTAGATGAAACAAATGTTTTCGTTGTTCGAAGGAGCTTTAAAATTTTCATCTGCGCTCTACCCGACCTCAAATACTGCCACGTTCGAAGGCGGAAAGAAGTTTCGATCCCCGTTTTAAGGTCCTTCTCGAAATGAAACAGCAGGATTACTGTTGTTTGGTAGCACTTTTATTTACCCGCACTTTGTACGGGACTTCGTGCAGTTAACTGGTGGGGCACTGGATAAGCCGGTTATAAGAAACTTCGGTAGGGATTCCTCGTGGGGTATTCTAAAGGTTCTTATGCATTATAACCACCCACTTATAAATTTTAAGTAGGTTAAATTATCCACAATCTTCCTTTTTCTGCAAGCTGGCCGTCGACCCAGTAGGTATTGGATGATGGCATTGAACTACAGAGGGGTCTTCGGAAGGCCACCGCATACAATATCCGCTTTAGTCAGTATATTAAGCAAAAAATGACTTTTCAAGTTAACCACGGGAAGAATCGCTTACTAACAAATTTTAATTAGGGTAAATTTCACAGTCTTCCAACTTCTGCAATCGTTCGCCTTTATTCTAGTTGGGGTTAGTGGAACTACTAGAAAATGTACCTCAGTGACCTCGTCCGAGGCTTGGGCACACTCCCCCGACATACACGCGCTCGCCGTTGGTCCGGTAGGAGGTTAACGATGACATTAAGCCGTACTCCAGTGTCCCCGCTCGAGGTTTGAGTACGCGCCCCAACTTACCCTCGTAATTTTTCTTATTTTACAGGATTACTGCGATCTAATTTGTTCCCTGACATGCCCCACCCGTCCCCTCCTCTAAAATCAGGAGTCCGTAAGGCCGAAGCGCGCGCTCCGATCGCCCCCCAGGCGGCCCCACAAGGTACTCCTACCAAAACTTCTGCAGAGGAGCTAAATTTACTAAAGAATAACTAAAGATCCATTACTAGGGCCAATTAATCGAATAACAATTCTCTGAAAGTGGAGATGGAATCACTATGGGAACAATCTGTAAACTTTCACTAGTCCGGGGAAGTAGGTAGTTTCAAAGGTCAAGGCAAGGATGTTGGTCATACACTATTCCTGCAAAGACGCCTTAACGTGTTTACTTTGAAACCAGGGAAATATTTTTTTCTAAGTGCTCAATCATCCTTGATGACCCCGACGGTTGAGTGTACTTTCGTGTGATGATAGGGGAAATGTGCCAAGAACAGAACTTACTGGACTCTGTGGATGGCAGGTCTGAAGTTAATTAAGCATTAAATAGAGATGGACTTTTTCTGTGAAATATAAAAGGCTTTAAAGCTAGCAAATAGGCTAACTGTAAGGGTTGACTTACATTGGACAATTCTAGAGAGGCGCGTGAGCCGGAGGAATCCCCCAACTTCCGCCGAACGGAACGGCGAGTGTGTGTAGGCGGTGTAATCGCAGTTTTGGCTGGTGATGGACTGCGATGGGCAGCTTGCGCGCCAGCTAAATCCGCCTGCGCTCTGT